TACTTTATAGATTAACATAAAAGCATCTTAAACAGATGTAGTTTTGCAAAACCTTTATTTACAATGCAAAGTCCATCATCTCAATCTGGATAAAGAAGACAGTCCAACTCCATCCTTCTTGCATGTTTCTTTGCAAACACATCAACAACGCTGTCAAGGTCAACGTGCTTTCTGTAAAGAATATGAAGCAGTGTCAGTGAAGAGAGACGCTCCTTACCTATCGATGCCTGCATGTAGTTGTTGAGGCGACGAAAAGCACTGGCACTGCGCTCACACTCACAGGATGTGACAGGGAGTGTACAGGCCAGCCGGAGCAGGACATGCAGGTTGGGGTACAAGTCTCGGTCACACTCTTTCAGGGAACTTGCTGGGGTGTTTGGCCTCTGTGATTCAGGCACTCTGTCATACCTAACAGAACAGTTATTAAAACAGATTTTTTTATATAGCAATAGTATTGTAACATTCAATTTCTAAACCAGCTTCTTGGATTATTAACTTCAGAACACCTTCAACTTCCACCTTGTAACCTCCTGGTCAACAAGTTCTGGAGAGGGTAGGTCTTCTGCATACATGCTGACAATCTCTGTGGTGTCCAGATGGCGAGTGCAGATAATAGCTGGCACTAGTCCCAACAAGGAGATAGCTGTGGCTGACAGAGCTGAGAATAAAAAAAAACAACTTTGTAAAAAAATAACATTTAAATGTCAGAAAATGTTTATATCATTTCTATTTAACTTGTATGTATACAAAGTAGTTAGAAGTTTTGTAAAATATTTGTAAAAGCTTCTGTAAAAGCTTCAGTATCTATGGAATTTAAATATCAAATGCTTTGATAAATACCTAACAAAAATTTTCTATGAAAATGCTTTGAAAACAAAGTATTTGTTCTTTAAATAATTCTGTTCTTTAAAAATCAAGTTTACAAGCAGCACAGTTTTGAAATTTACCTTGTATTCTCTGTTTCTTTGAAACAAAATTGTTCAAGGAAACAGCTTTTGGCAGCTCTTTTCCTCGCTCTGTCCTTCTGCTCACGTCTACCCATTCTAGCCTGAATGGTGTATCATCCAGCGCAGAAACCTGAAATACACATTTAAAATAATATTTACTTTAACATGTATTATTAATTTATACTTGCATTTAAAGTTGGGGGGGTGGGTATATTTTCAGGCACACGGTTCAGTTGTATACCACAATCAAGGAACTATGTAACTAACTAACTGTTACCTTCAGTTGTTATGAAAATACTGTATTTATGAAAGATGGATCAGATTTTGCATCACCTAGAACTGGTTTTAAGTGTCTGGATGTTGTAGCTTTGAAACTGGACCAGTTGTGGACTTGTCAATGGGAGAAATCCCAGACGGAGTAGTGAAAGGAAACTAGAATGGAGTGGAACTGTGTAGGAAGGCAAGGGCCAGGCTAGTTGTGGTGTAGTCCAGATGCAAAAATGTGCCATTATCGCCCTTTATTGCTGCTGCACCAAAGAAAAGGTGCACAATGCACATGCTTGGTTTTAATTATTCTGCTGTAAGTGTAGAATAAAGTAGTCCAGGTTTAAGGAGTCTAAAAATGTTGGTTTTTATTCTAGAGCATATTAAAAATACTGGAGGTGAAGCAAAAATAGGTGTAATTGCCCTTTAGCTACTTTGAAAAATAAATTTAGCTTCACTGTGATATAAAGCTCAAAAAAGTCGATTTTACATAACAACCCCTATAAATTGCAAACACAGTATCAATAAATAAATGAAGAAAAAAATGTGTGCAGGCCAAACACAACTGAAGCTGGTTTACCATGTGAAGTTGGGAAAACATAGTATTTATATCTTATATAAGAAGAAATAATTTATAAACCTTCTATTAAATAAATAAAAACACCTTAAAGTATGAAAGCAAGACCTCACCTATTAATTCAAACATAAAAATAAACAGCATTCTAAGGAAAATGCCTGACGCCTTTTCCTTCCCAAAAGCCTGTAGCTTTGTAAAACGTAGTTGCTCTTTGTTAGGCTAACTGTGAAGCCACCAACTGTCCTACTGCTATGAAACTTAGCTTTATAGAAACTGGAACAAATGGGGAAGACACTGGTACCAATTTGAGATAAATTACTGCTCCCAACTAGGCAGAAAATGACAAAAAAAAACAGGAAAGAAAAAGATCGCGAAAATCGTTGTTACTACTTAGCTTAGCTTTAGCATGTTTTTAGCATTATCTTATATATTGTATTAAACACGGCCCACTCACTAATTTCCTTTACATAAAACCATACCACTAGAAAAATACACACCTAAACACTTGAATCAAAAAACACAAAGTAATCTTACCTTTGATAAAATGTCGCCTCTGGCTGGGACAGCTGATGTGTTTGTTTTCCAAGCCAAGTGAACGGACTGCAGCTCTAACTCTGAATGTTGCGTAATAGCGGAAAGGCGGACTTTTTAGGCAAAGTGGGCGGTTCGTCCGAATCCCTCGAACCCCCCCTGGCTACGCATATGGCACATATCACCTCACGTGACGTTCAGCTGTTTCTGCTTTCCTGTCTCTCCCATGTGTATGGAGCCCTGCGTAGTTGCACGTGCCTTTTTGCTGCATAGTTTTACATTGTGTTTATTTCCCTGTCTCCTGGCAGCGTTAAACACAGCCTGTACTAGCTGAATAGATAGAAAAATTACAATTTGCCCAATAGCAAGGCATTCACAAATAAATCGCTCCATTATCCCGAGATGATTAGCCTCTTCTAGTTAGCAAGTTTCACTTCCTGTTTACTACCGCAAGCTTGTCACCAACGTCTGGCGTAATCACGCGTTGCATAGCCTCGTTTGACATAATCACGCATTGCGTAGCCCCGTTTATTCGCATCAAACGGTCGAGAGGGAAACTAGATGGAAACAGTCAAGATTCAAATGTTTATTTTTTTTTTTTTGCGAATTTTTAAAAGTTCGATAAAAATTCCCATTACAACTGGATGGAAACACGATTTATATGTCTCAGCTGGCCTGGGAATGCCTCAGGATTTCCCCAGAGAAGCTGGCCTAAGTGGCTGGGGAGAGGGAAGTCTGGGTTTCTCTGGGTGCTGACCCTGCAAACTTGATCCCAGATAAGCGGAAGAAAATCTATGGATGGATGGATGGATGGATGGATGGATGGATGGATGGATGGATGGATGACTTCAAATGTTGGCTGTCTCAATTCATGGGTTGTACCTGACTTCTGCTGCATTTGTGGGCTGCTAAAGTCACTGCCTTGTGCCATAGGCTATTCCAATTCATAGGCGCCTACTCACGTGGCCGAAAAAACCCTGAAAATGTAGCCTGCATCCTACACAGCCAACGGTATCCCAGAATTCATTGCTCCATCACCAAATTAAACAATGGTCACCCAAACATTCCTTAGCTGTTGTGCGGCTGACAACTTCCTGTCTTTAGTTATGACTAATATTAATATTCATATACCAAAATAGTAATTTTTACAGGTGGGTTTGAGCTGTTTCAATCATGCCGAATTGTTACATGTCCGTCCACCTGCGTTCAGATTTCTTGCAGCTAAACACCTTCTTGTCTCAAGTTATGACTAAAACTAATGTCAAAAAGAAAAAAATAAGTAGGTCCTCTGGATGGGTTCTTCTTTAGTGAAACGTTTCGTCTCTCCACCAAGAGACTTAGTCTGATGAGTTTCAGTTGAAACTCAGCCTTATAAGCCCTACCTCCACCTGGACAAACAGGTTAGTCAAATGCAAAATAGGGCCATCGACTAACAATAGGCTTGATTGGCTCTATTGTTCATAGAGGGTCATGTGCCCCATCACCTGACCCATGTCATGTTATGTGAATGTAGTGAAAGTAAGTGGGGGTTTCAACATTCCCTTGCTTTTGTCCCTCTTTCCCTCTTTGTGTTAGTATCATTGGGGCCCTGATTCACACTTTTTGCTCACACGGGGCTGAGTCATACTTGCAATGACAGCATTGCTGTCAGGTTTTGACATGGCAATGACCCAGGGCACAGGCAGAGTTTGGGTATGGTGAAAAAACAAAGGAATTTATTAAACAAAAGACACTAAGGCAGCAGCAAAAACTCACTTGAGTGACATGGCAAAAATGACAGGACATGGACTACCAGATAGGCTTGACAATGATCCGATGCTAGACAGTGACAAGACAGGGCTTAAATACACAGAAAATAATCGGGGACTAGAAAACACCTGGGAGGAAACACGAGGCAAATCAGCAGCCTGAGGCAGGGCAGCTGCACAGAGAACACGGGGGGTTGGGGGGTGGGGGGACATAGAAACACTAGGATAACCAAAACATAAAATAACAAACTATGACATTAACCAAAAACATCAAATGACAGACTATGGTAAATGGTTCTGAACTTATAGAGCGCTTTTCAAGTCCCTCCGGACCCCAAAGTGCTTTACACTAAAAGACATTCACCCATTCACACTCACATTCACACACTGATGATGGCAAACTACAATGTAGCCACAGCTGCCCTGGGGCACACTGACAGAAGCGAGGCTGCCATGCACTGGCGCCACCGGACCCTCTGACCACCACCAGTAGACAAGGTGGGTGAAGTGTCAAAGGACACAACGACTGAGACAGCTGGACGGGGGATCGAACCAGCGACCTTCCAGTTCCAGGACGACTCCCTTAACCACTCCGCCACAGCCGCCTGACTATGACACTACCTCCCTCTTAAAGATCGTCTCCGGACGATCATCAGGGAGAGGCACAGGACAAGGGGAGACGCAAGACAAGACAGACTCTAAGACAAGACATGAAAGTTTAGGGGTACGGCCTGGAAAATCTCCTGCATGGAGCTTGAGTGCAGTGGGGTTGCCGGGGAACCATTCAACACAAAACATCAGTTCAGTGAGACAGCCAGGGAACCATCCAACATGAGTCAATAGTTCAGGGGGACGGCCGGGGTACCACCCCCAGTGAGGCCTTGGGACCGACAACTGTGGGACCCCCGATAGAGGACCCCTGATTATGACTCTGAGAACGACCCTGGCGATGACTCTGGCGAAGACTCTGGCAGTGACTCTGACAATGACTCTGATGACCCAGATGACTCAGATGACTCTGTAGACCTTGACGACTCAGATGATTCTGTAGACTTTGACGACTCAGAAGACCCAAACGACTCAGAAGACCCAGACGACTCCGGTGACTCATATGACTCTGATGACTCAGTCAACTCTGATGACTCTGTTGACTCAGTCGACTCTGATGACTTTGGTGACTCTGATGACTCACATGACTCAGCCGACTCAGATGACTCTGGTGACTCAGTCGACTCTGATGACTTTGGTAACTCTGATGACTCACATGACTCAGCCGACTCAGATGACTCTGATGACTCTGTAGATCTTGACGACTTAGATGATTCTGTAGACTTTCACAATTCGGAAGACCTAGACAACTCTGATGACTCACATGACTCTGGTGACTTGGTCGACTGTGGTGACTCTGATGACTCGGTGGACTCTGATGGCTCAGTCGACTCTGATGATGCAGTCGATTCTGGTGACTCTGATGACTCAGTAGCAGGAACAGCCGGTTCGGACAGCGACAGCCCGCCAACAACCAGCACAGGAGACACCAGAGAGGTGGGAGGGTGGATATACGGAGGCTGAGCCAGAACCCTCCAAACGAACTGGTGGAGCTGCTGATGCCCTGGCAGAAGAAGCAACTCAGGGCTCCCCACCAAAAAGTGTTCTATTTGCCGGCACAAGAGCTGCTGGTCCTCCAGCGTGGAAGACTACTTGAGGATCTTCAGCAATCCTCTGATGACCAGAGATGTCACCTCGTCCTCCCCGGGTGGCAAAACCGGGACAGGCTCCTCTACGGCAGGGAGAGGATGACCAGGGACTCTGGTGACGCCGGCAAACTCCGGAGGTGAGAGTAGGGGTACTGATGCTCCGCAAAGCAGCCAGAAAAATGTCTGGCTCCACTCAAAAAAAAAAAAAAAAAAAAAAAACCCTGGAAAAATAGTGCCTGTGGGCTGGGTGCCTGGTCGGATCATTCTGTCAGGTTTTGACATGGCAATGACCCAGGACAAAAGCAGAGTTCGGGTGTGGTGAAAAAACAAAGGTCTTTATTAAACAAAAGATGCTGACAAGGCAGCAGCAAAAACTCACTTGAGCGACGTGGCAAAAATGACAGGACATGGACTACCAGACAGGCTTAACAATGATCCGACGCTAGACAGTGACAAGGCAGGGCTCAAATTCACCGAAAATAATCACAGGACTAGAAAATACCTGGGAGAAAACACAAGGGCAATCAGCAGCCTGAGGCAGGGCAGCTGCGCAATGAACACAGGGGGGAACATAGAAACACTCGGATAACCAAAACATAAAATAAACTATGACATAAACCAAAAACATAAAATGACAGACTATGACAAATGTAGGAGGAAGACAAATGGACACGAAGGCCACCACCTCTATTTAATGGTGGATGGTTTATCTTCACAAAGATGGCTTCCTGTACTCCTCTCTCAAAGCAACGTTCCTCTTTATCAAGGATGAGAACATCTTCATCCCTGAAAGAGTGACCGCTGGCCTGTAGATGAGTGTAAACTGCAGAGTCCTGACCCGACAACGTAGCTCGTCTGTGCTGGCTCATTCTTTTGAACAGTGGCTGTTTTGTTTCCCCAATGTATGACTGATCACAGTCCTCCTGACACTTAACAAAATATACTATATTATTCTGTTTTTGCCGGGGAACTGGATCTTTGGGGTGAACTAATCTTTATCGTAACGTGTTTTGGGGTTTGAAAGCCACTGGGACGTCATGTTTAGAGAATAAACGTCTCAGTTTCTCTGAAACTCCCGCCACATATGGAATGATGACTGGTTTGGGTCTGAGTTTAGGGTCTTCGTTTTCAGCTGGTTGTTGGCTGAAATCCTGTTTGGGTTTCTTGTCTGCTTTCAGAAAAGCCCAGTTAGGATAACCACACTGCTCCAGAGCCTGTCTTATGTGTGACTTCTCTTTCTCTCTGGCTCCTGTGTTTGTGGGGACACTGTCTGCTCTGTGGTACAGAGTTCTGATGACTCCTAATGGTACGTTCACACCGAACGTGTTTTGAGTGGCAGGAGCGGCCGATTCACATGCAAAGTCTATGAGGAAGTGCCTCTAGGGGTTGTGTGTCACATCACGTACGTTTTGGGCGGTGCGCAAGGAAGGCGGAAGGGGAGCAGAGCGTTGTTCGCGCATGCGGTGCTGCGGAAGCCGCCGTCGCCCGAGCCGCTGCCAGAGTTCAAATATCTGAACTTTTCGCCGCTCGAGGCGTCTCCCACTGAAACCGAAACAGACGGAGTGGAGATCTTCACCTGAAATCGACCGTGTGCAGTTGGGTTTTCTTGCAGGATATATCAGCACCGATGTGGATCGGCTGCTCGGGACCAAAAACAAAAGAAAAAAGTCCGTCAGCTGGCAGCTTCTGGAGTGACGAAACTAACCGAACAAATCG